GAAATATCTGTAAGTTTTGGTTATATTTTTGTCTGCTTCAAGAACTTTCACCATTTCAGTTATACCAACTTTCTTTGCTTTATGAAAATATTTTGGTTCAGCAAAGACTGCTATTCTATAACATTTACCATTGTTTGTATAAAGAACTATTCTGTCAATGTATTTGTATTGTTTGTGTGTGTAAACTTTGTTCTGCTTCAATTCGAAGAGATACTCGAATACGTCCATCTTTTTATTCTAAGTAAAATGTCATTTCCGAAAAATAGAAGCGTGAGTGTTTCAAAAGGTTTAATGGCGGTGGCAGATGTGAAGTTAAATTCACCAACTCAAACAAACAGTCAAAGTGTTGTTGTCAATGTCAAAGACAGAGATGTTGAAGTGGGGAAACCATACGAAGACGAAGATGGTATAACAATTGTTCCTGTAAAAGAACAACCAACATATCCTGAAGTTAGCAGAGACTTAAGTTCTGTTGCAGATATTCGAAACGACTACCAACAACTGAAAGACAAACTTCAAACTCAGGAGAAGATTTGTCAAGCTTTAAGTATAATGTTAAACTTGGTCGAACACAACCCTGTAAAAGTGAACTCATATGTCATTGCACCTCATGAAGTTTTGAAAGAACTATTGAAACTTTTGACAGAGGCAGACGATATAAACATCAAAGAAATAGAACCCGACATTAGTTGCTGTGGTGTTTCATATAATGTCATTGACAAGATATACGTTATGAAAGGAGGTGAAACGTTGAACTTAAAGTATAGTTTCCCAGACGTCATAAAAATATTTGACGACCACAACATTTCATTAAAATTTATTTGCTAAGTAAAAATGTCAAAACTTCTTGAAAGATGTTTGAAGAAAAATAATATAGACTTTATTTCATGTAAAGGACTTTACACACTTTTGAACGATATGAAAGACCCTGTTTTGTTTGTTCGTGTAGACAAAGGAAAGTTCTATGTCTTTACAAAATATTTGAACTTCTTAGACAGAGAACTTCAAGAAACGCCATGTGAAAGTTTAGATGAAGTTCTTCTCCACTTTCAGAAAAACTTTTAAATATATATAAATGGCAGAAGACATAATGGTTTATACTATTACGACTAAAAAACCCTGAGTCATATAATTCTATAACAACAAACTTACAAAGTCCTCAAGGACGATATTGTAAACTAACCTTAAACACAATGACGACTAAAGCCTGTTTTGCTCTTTTGACACCAGAAGACTTTATTGTTGTGAATGGTAAAAAATACTCCTTTGAAGATACTTACTCAGATATACCACCAACAGGTTTTGTTGACTTATTTAATACTTTAAGTACGGTGTAACATGTGCTGCAACTAGAGCAGGTTTCATTATGTTTGGATGTCCGACTGAGTTTACTATAAACAATATGAGCTATAATACAAAACTTATTTCTGGTTTTTACTACCAACAGTTTCCTATAACAGGAAAAGGTGTCATACAAGGAATGTCTATTCCATTGACTTTAAGTACACCTATTTTATATATTGTTTCAAACTTAGGTTCAAAGTGTTATTCGAATGTCGACAGAAACTATTATGACCAAAAGATACTTATGCGTATAAACAATACTTTCTCTGCTGGTTTGCCTATTGTTCATTCGAATGCAGAATTTTCAACCTTAGTGAACTCAAACACTTTGGCAAGTATAACGTTGACATTAGTTGACGCAAACTTTGTTCCTGTAAAACTTTTATGTCCTATGTATTTGTCAATGACGGCAGAAAGTTTCGAATTGGAAGATGCAACTGGTGAAAGTATTGTATTACAAGAACAACTTCAACAACAAATAGCTCAAGAACAACAAATGCAACAAATGCAACAAATGGAACAACAAAGTCAAGAATAAAAAAAATATTTTTTTTATTTTTATAAAAATGTACAGAATAGATGTTTCAGATTTTTATGACTTCCAAGCATTCAGAAAGTGTCCATTTCGAGACTATAACAAAGCAGTCGAGAATTTGAAACGTTTAGTCATTTATGTTGACTCTGCCCCAGAATGTTATGTTATGAAAGAATGGGATGTAGTCTTTAACAAACCTAAAGCGACAATAGTTTCAGAACAAGAATGTAAACAGAAACTTAAGAAAATAAAAGTCGTACAAGTTGGCATGAAGATGTTAGATGCTTGGGATATCTTATTGTCAAAGTTAGAAGATTTTTCAGTTCGAGGTATAAAGTTCTATACACCTTCTCCAAACTTCTATTCTATCTTCACTGGATATAAATACGAACAAGTAGAATGGAAAGAAAATATTATAGAAGCTTGGTTAGACCATGTCAAAGAAATTATATGCAATGGAAACGAAAGAGTCTATGAGTATATCTTATGTTGGTTTGCAAACATCTTACAACATCCAAGTGCTAAAAATGAAACTGCTCTCATTATAATTGGAAAACAAGGAACTGGTAAGAACACATTCTTTACAGATATTTTGTGCAAACTGTTAGAGGGCTATTCGAACCCGAATATGACAAACTTAGAAAACATCTGTGGCAAGTTTAACTCCTCAATAGAGAATATGAAACTTATAGTTTGCAATGAACTTCAAAGTATAGATACAACAAAAGTTTTAAACTCAGATGCTTTGAAGAGTCTTATAACAGACAAAGTTGGAGTTGTTGAAAGAAAATATAAAGACCAAAGAGTTTGTCAAAATGTTGCAAACTTCATTATGGTTTCAAACAATGCTGTTCCGATGAAGTTAGAAAGTTCTGACAGAAGATATGTAGTTGTCAGAACGTCAGATTCTCATATGCAAGATACAGAATATTTTGACGACTTAGCAGAAACTTTGACATCTGACTTTTACAACCACTTGTTTTCTCATATTTTATGACATTAGATATTTCAAAGTTCAATCCAAGACAAATTCCACATACCGAAGAGAGACAAACATTTTAGAAGCAAACAAGAGTGTATATGAACTGTTCATAGATGAAACTGACTTTGAGTGTTTAGATGAAAGGTCATTGTACGATTCGTATAAACAATATTGTCAAGAATATGGTTATATGACAGCGTCTAAACGAACATTCTTGGCAAATGTCAAAAGTCTTTTAGACGTACAGAATGGTGTATATACAAAGAAAAATTTTTATGAGTAAATTTAAAAAAAAATATTTTTTTATCCGATAGAAAAGATGGCAAAATTCATCTCAGTAAACAAGTACATGTCAGGACTTAAAGAAGAACTAGACCCATTCACATATTTGAATGTTTACTTCTACCATTTTGAAAAGTCTTCATTCAGCAAAGTTTGGAACATCGAACCAGTTAAGTTTGCTATTGTGACTAAAAATGGTGCGAAATTTGAAGACTTAGACATAGAAGGTTTGTTAGCAGTCAAAGAAAGTTTTGACAGAAGGTTTTCAAACCTTAAAGAAGGCAAAGCATACAAACTTGTTATACCTTATGAACCAAAGAAGACAGACGACTATGAATATTATGAGTCTAAGATAGTTGAAGTTCAAGGTAAATTGGGTAAAAAGATTTTAGAGTCTAAGCCAGTGTTTGCTCCTAAAGAGGAAGAGAACATTGACATTGACCCAGAAATGTTCTAAAAATAAAATTTTATTTTTACATGTCAAATTTCTTTTTCTCTGGAACTGGCTCTGGTTCTTTCTTCTCTTCTTCTACTTTCTTTTCTTTCTTTTCTCTCTTCTTCTTTTCTGGTGGAGTTATGTCAAATTTGGCGCAACCATATTTATGTAAAAGTTCTTTGTCCTTTAATAGCTCTTCTATTCTGTTTTCTATTTCATCTTCAAGAACAGCGCATGTGTCTTCTTTGCATTCTAAGAACTTTTGTTGGACTTCATCTCTCCAAGAGGCGTCATCTCTGTCAACAAGTCTGTCATTGACAAATTTTAAGACTGCTCTGCTTAATGTTTTATGGTTCTTGTCATATTCCCAGAAACAGAACTTTAGAACAAATTCACCTTTCTTGTTTACACTATGTAAGATTTTATGGTCGACAGATGTTTTGCTGTCGAAAAGTTTGTCTCGAATATAGATAGCGAAATCGCTAGACATTTTCTAAAAGATAAAAATTTTAATTTTTCTAAAAATATGTTAGAAAAAAAGTTTGCTGACATTGACAAGAAATTTGAGAATGTTTTAAACAAGAACAAGAGGAAGTTAGAAAATGCTCAGATAAAGCCTATACATGACAAGTTCTTATTTGCTCAGAATGGTATAACAGGTCTAATTGCACCACCTGGGTCGGGTAAGACTTTCACTTATCTTAAAATGGCTGCACAACAACAAGAACTAGATGAGAAGAACCCATTCTATGAGTTAGTTGTCATTTGTAGTACTTCTGGTCAATTTGACCAAACCGTCAATTCGTTCAAAGATATTATAAAGAAGTCTAAGTTAGTATGTATAAAAGACTCTGAGTTGTTAGATTGGATAAAGAAGTACCAAAGAAGAGTTTTGAAGTATAATGCTATAAATGAGTATATAAATTCGAAGTTTAAAGACCCAAATGAGGAAATGCAGAGAATATTAGAGAAGAAACACTTCAGAAACAAACAGAAAGAGATAGAATACATTTCGAAGAAATTGCAATCTTACGATTGGAAGACATACCCTCATAGATGTCTTCTTATCTTAGATGACTTTGCTTCTCATCCTTTGTTAAAGAACAGAGAACAAGACATGTGTCGAATTCTTAAGAAGCTCAGACACTTTAACATCTCAGTTGTCATTTGTGTACAGACAGCAAAGAGTTTAAGTAAGGATGTAAAGAGAATACTGACTGACATTGTACTTTTCCCCGGATTGTCCGAAGACGATTTCATGGAACTTATGAAAGAGTCCATGGCAGGTAAGTTTGACAGATATGAACTATGGGAGAAGTACAAAGTCATACAAGACCCTCATACTTCTTTCAGAATTCATATCTACGCAAACAAAGTTCAAATTGTAAAAAGTCAAGCTTGAAAAATCTAAGTGTTTAGTCTTAGTAAGTCTGTTGTGGTGCTGGGGCTGTCGGTTCTTCTGGCTTTGGAAGGCATTCAGGAAGAGGGACGTGAGACATTCGTTTGTGTCCTGTCGGAAGGAAGAACTTTTCCTGTTGTCGGGAAAAACTTTTCCTGTCGGAAGGAAAAATTTTTTCTGTTGGAAGGAAAAACTTTTCCTGAAGTTCGACCAAAAAGTTCTCAATTTTCGAAAATTTGAATGGTTTACGGACGGACAACTGGAAAATTTTTTCTTGTCGGATGGAAAATTTTTTCCTGTTGGAAGGAAGAACTTTTCCAGTTGTCGGGAAAATATTTTTCTGTCGGAAGGAAGGACTCGGAATGCCAGAAGGATTTGACGAGGCAATTTACCTAATTGAGCTACTTGAGCCATCTGAAGTCAAGCTTGAAAAATAAATGGTTCATCTACTCTACTTGTTTGAAGTTGTCAAAATACTCTGTTATTTTTTCCTTTAACAATGGCAAATCTTCTTTGAAGGTAAGTATTGTACAACCTTTCATATCATAGTGTGTTTGAGGTAAAGTATCTTGAACTATTTGTTTCACATCTTCATTCGGTGTCATTGAAATCGGTAAGTTTTCGCGATAGAACCAATTTCTGTCAGATTTGTAAATCTTAGCAAGGTCGTAAAAGCTTTTGTTGTTTCTTCTGACTAAATGCAACATAACCATATCTTTATCTTCTTCATTTTCCATCTCTTCAGTATAAATCATATACTTATAGTTCTTTTCCTTTCCTTTTGGTACCGAACGTGGTATTCTTTTCTGAATGTTTTTGTCTTTTGCTTCAAGCTTGTTCTCTAGCTCTTCACGTTCTTGTCTATGAATTTCGTCAAGAAGTCTGTAAACATGCCATGCATAACGAGGTGAAGCCCACATTGCAACAGCATTTACAAGAAGTCTATGTACATAATATCCTCTCAAACCGTTTGGCAATTTTTCACGATTTTCATAGAGTTTTGGCGACTGGGTTTTTTTACCTACTCGCTGTTCTTCACTGTTTTCAGAAAAAAGTATGTCTCGCTGTGCTTCGCTCAAAAGTTCTTGTGTGCTTTGGTTCCTAAACCAGTCTTTAGGAAGCTTAGTGTCTGGAGCAAAACATGCTGTCAAAATACTTTGCATTTGGTACATGTCATCTTTGACCGAACGAATGAGACGGAGTTGTTTGTTAAACTGTATGTATTCATATTCTTCATTTATAGCTTCATGGACTATAACTGTTGTTGTGTTCTCTGTTGTTGACATATCTGTCTTTACATACAAAATAAAAAAATAAATAAAAATAAAACTAACTTTATTTTTTCTATCTTAAGGAAATTCATGATTTTCATAGAGTTTTAGGCGACTAAGGTTTCTTACCTACTCGCTGTTCTTCACTGTTTTCATAGAGTTTTGGCGACCCAGATAAAAGTCTGGGTCGCAATTTTTCACGATTTTCATGAGTTTTATGCAAGACCGAAGGAAGTCGGTCTAGAGAAATTTCACTGTTTTCGTACGGAATCTCTTCTCTCGGTTTTTCCGAGGAAAGCAATCTTATGCCATTTTACTCAGATTTTTGTGCTGAATTCAGCAAAAATATATTTTAGGGTAGAAGGTTAGATCTAACCTGTTTTCTAACCTGTTTTCTAACCTGTTTTTTTCACAAGCGTTTTACATGGTAAACGTTATTTTTACATGTATTTTTCAGCAACTTCGTCAAATAATTTTATAGCTTTATCTATCTCATCTACTTCAAACGTTTCTTTACCTTTCGTGGGAGCACCATACATTTTCTCAAACTTTTCAAGTAGTTCTGTTTCAGCAGCTCTCATATCATTCACAAACACAACCTTGACTCTATTGACTGTACTGTCATATCTTTGAGTTATATTATATGTTCTTCCTATCTTATATCTCTTTGTATTGAAGTCCTTCGGTTTCTGAACGATGTAAAGTAAGCCTTCACTGCAACGTTCCGTATCGAATGAACCATATGTTATGAAGTTATATCCAACAACTGGGTCTAACCATAACAAAACTATTGTATAAGACTTTTGTCGATGAGATATGCTGTAGTTCCATAGAATCTTACCGATATCATAAGCTCAGGATTTCTTGTCAAAATTTTCTGAGTAGAAGCAATTTTAACCCAGTCGTTTGTTTTCTTTCCAGATGGAGATAAAATGTCTGACAAAGAATATTTGTTGTATTTCTTTGAGTATCTTACGTTTAAATCACCTATTCTAACCACTTTAGTGTTATTGTCTATCTTTTTAACTGTTTCAAACTCAGTGTTTGTCATATATGTTCTTACATACAAAATAAAAAAAATATTTTATAAAAAACTAACTTTATTTTTTCTGTCTTAAGGAAATTCATGAAATTTGGTCATTTTTCAGCAAAAATATATTTTAGGTGAAGAGGTGAGATCTCACCCGTTTTTTCACCTGTTTTCTCACATGGTCTAAAACACACAAAACTCATGAAATTTCATACGGAATTCAGTAAAAATAAAGTTTAGGTGAAGAGGTGAGATCTCACCCGTTTTCTCACCTGTTTTCTCACCTCAGTTATTTTATAAGCGTTTTACATGAATTGTACGATGTATATTTGAAATCCTAAACAGTTTTGTGGCTTCTATTTCTTCGCTGAGGATATCGAATGTTTTAACAATGTCGAAAGTTTCTTTATACTTCTTCTTAACGTCAGATAGAAGGAAATCGTCAGCAGTTGGATAGTTTTTGTTCAGAAATTCTAACATGTCCATTTTATTTTCTGCTGGTTTTTCTGCTTCTTTCTTTAAGTCTGCATAGTCGTTTCGCATACGTTCTATCTCTTTGACGGAGTAGTTATATTTCCTAATTGCTGCTTTACATTTAGAACATTGCGGGTTCATTTTTGCGTTATATTCTGAAACCTTACCTGCTAAAACAACTAAGGCGTCAATGGTTTTCTTTAACTCAAACATAGCGGGTCTTATTTGTTCGTTCCATACTTTGCCTCTTCTATCTTTATCTCTTATTTCCCAAACACATTCTGCAACTAACGAAACAAAGTTGTCGTAGGTCTTAAATTCTTCAGATTTATATATGTCAGAGATGTTCTTATATAACATGTCGCAATCTTTGTCCATAACCTTATGGTTGCAATGAAATCCTAGAAACTCATAGTTTACCTTTCGTATGAACTTCTTTATTTCTACTGAGTCAGTTGCTTTGACTTCTATTTCATCGAATTCAGGAATAGTGAGCTTTTGTTGTTGGATTTCAGGCAATTTGGGTAAATGGTCAATAATGTCCTCCATTTCATAAAGATACTGTTCATTTGTTTCATCTTTCGCACAACAGTCTAAATTACTTGTTAAAAGTTCTTGCTTTATCTTCTGGATTTTTGTTTCGAAAGTAAATGAAGAAGGAATGAAGCTTTTCATTTCTACTAACATAGATGTTGGATTCATAACTAAAGAGTTTGGTGAAGTTGTTGTTTGAAGTGTTGTAGAACCTATTGTTGAAATCATATCTTTACATACAAAATAAAAAAAAATAAAAAAATAAAACTAACTTTATTTTTTATTTCGGGAAAATTCATGAAAATTCAAGAGGTGAAAAAAGAGGTGAGAAAACAGGTGAGATCTCACCACTTCACCTAAACATTATTTTTGGGTCCTTTACACTCATTACGAAGAAGTCTTGACAAAACATTTACGAAGAAGTTTCGACAAAACATGTACGAAGAAGTCATGAAAATTCAAGAGGTTTTGGGTGGTTGGTACTTGAAGCAGTACAAGTATTGTTCTGAAAAAGTACAAGTATTGTTCTGAAAAAGTACAAGTATTGTCTTGAAACAGTACAAATATTGTTCTGAAACAGTACAAATATTGTCTTGAAACAGTACAAGTATTGTTTTCATGAAAATTCATGAGGGTGAGAAAACAGGTGAGAAAACAGGTGAGATCTCACCTCTTCACCTAAAAGTATTTTTCAATACTTTTTCAGCACTTTTCCGTAGTTATATATGAAAGACAATTCGAGATAAAAGTCATAGTACAATGAAATAATATGTTGCACACCATTTGTTGTGAACCAAACTTGAAAGTCAGAGAAACTGTTACTAGGTGGTTCGTAGAATTTAGAAGCAAAGTCATAAAAGTCCTTACCAATACATAGAAAACTATTGTTGCTTGAACTGAAACTTGCATGACACATAACATTTTGAGGGTCAAACACGTTTCTATAAACCATCAAATCTGCTGGTGGAAGTATAAATTTAAATGGACCATCTGGTGGTAATGGTTCGTTCTGGTTTAGTAACCGAAGAAATTGTGCCCAAGAACGTTTGTCTACTTTCCAAAATAAAAACTCTGTATCTCTTGGAGGGTTAATTTCAATCTTTTGAAATGAAACGGTGGAGTTCATCTTGTCATATTCTAGTTTCAGATAGTATGTTCCATTTAGTAAAGAGTCGTATTTTTCTTGAAATTCCCAATAATATTTGTTCATTGAGTTTGAAAGTCATTTAGAGTTTTCTCAAGACTTTCGTCTGAACGAACTGTAAAGATTCTCATTTCGTCAAATTTGTCTATTAGACCACCAGAACCTTTATACTGCCCATGAAATATACTGCGAACATAAATGCGTTAGTTCTATTTGAAAACAAAACTCTTCTAAATCCTATTGCCTTTGCATCTGAAGGACTTTGAAGCCAACGAATTGGATAGTCAAACCTGTATATTCGGGATGAAATTTCTTCATCTGAAATAGTCCTACCAGCATTTGTAAAGATATAGTCTAACGGTTTTGTATCTACTACTTTTGTTCTTTGTTTTTCAACCTGAAGCATTTAATATATGTAAAAATATATTGTTTTAAAATAGTATGCCATTTCATATTTCTCATCTAACAAACAAGTTTCCTTCAACTTGAGGTTCACTAACAAACTCAGCGTACATTTCAAATAAAATTAAAAAATGTCACTTTTTTATAAATAAATTTTTACTTCATGCAATGTTTTATTTCTGTGCCGTCTTCTTTAACACCCCAGTACTTACGCTTGGAGAGGACATGAACTTCGGAAAATACCTTATCTAGCTTAAAACAGCCCATCTTTTCACCAACCATTCCCATTTCAATGAGTTTGTTGTACCCTTCTTCGTTCGTCATGAGTGCGTCAATGTTCTCATAGTAAACCTTCACTTTGGATTTGACTTCGGAGAAGAATTTGTTGTAGTTGTCAAGGACTGCCTTTGCGAACTGAGGGTAAGACCAATGTTCGACAATAGGTTTTAATGTGGTTACTAAGCCACTTTGACCTTGAGTGAATTCGTACTTCAAAACAAAAGGAGAAAACCTTTCAACAAAGTTGTCGACCTTCTCATAATGTTTACTCTTCATCTCTTGAGGTTTCTTAATGGAATATCCCCATGTCGAATTCATAAGCAATTTGAGTGTCATTGCAAGTTTGGGGTTTGAAGCTTTCCTAATATCATACAGTTGTTGTATGACTTTTCCAACTGTATAGTTCCTTCCCGGGAACTCACCATCTTCGTTTGGAATTCCAGTCGGAATATATTGGACAAACCTCATGTATGCAGCGTTAAGGTCGACATAGTATATCTTTTCATCTGAGTCGAACTTGTCGCAACCAATTGGTCCAGTTTGTGGAAATTCAAGTGAGTCTCTTATCTTCTGAGAAACTTCTCCTGTTATCTCATAAACATCGTCGAAGCAACCTGTTTCATATAAAACCTTCTGACCTAACTCAGATGCTCTCCAATACAATTTGACGTCAATTGGGATGTCTCAATGGAAGTTTGTTTATAGCATCTTGAAGTTCTTGCAACC